CCTGGTTTCAGGCAATTCTCCTGCCTCAGCCTCCTGAGTAGCTGGGACTACAGGCAGGCGCCACCATGCCCAGCTAATTTTTTGTATTTTTAGTAGAGACGGGGTTTCACTATGTTGACCAGGATTGTCTCGATCTCTTGACCTCGTGATCCACCTGCCTTGGTCTCCCAAAGTGCTGGGATTATAGGCATGCGCCACTGCGCCTGGCCTAATTTTTTGTATTTTTAGTAGAAACAGCATTTAATCATGTTAGCTATGCTGGTCTCAAACTCCTGACTTCAGGTGACCCACAAACCTCAGCCCCCCCAAAGTTCTGGGATTACAGGCAGGAGTCACTGCACCTGGCCAGAGCCCATTCTTATCCAGGAAGACTATGTAGCAGGAGGAAGGAAGACCATGCAGAACTCTGAGTAATACCAGTGTTTAAGCGGTGGGCAGGAAAAAAGAAAGAAGAACCAGAGATGAATTGTTTAAGTATTAGTTTGTTAGGGCTGCCATAGCAAAGTACCAAAGGCTAAGTGGCTTAAACAACAGAAATTAATTTCCTTACAGTTCTGGAGGCTAGAAGTCCAAGGTCAAGGTATCGAAGGTTGTTTCTTCTGGGGCCTCTTGTAGATGGCTGTATCTTATCTTGTCCTGTGTCTTTATTTTTTATTTTATTGTTTTCTCCAAAACCTTGCCAGCATCTTTTATTTTTGACTTAAAAAAAAATTACACTTTAAGTTCTGGGGTACATGTGCAGAACGTGCAGGTTTGTTACATGGGTATACACGTGCCATGATGGTTTGCTGCATCCATTGCCCTGTCATCTACATTAGGTATTTCTCCTAATGCTATCCCCCCGCAAATCCCACCTCTCGCTTCTTTTTTTGAGACAGGTTTCGATCTTGTCACCCAGGCTGGAGTGCAATGGTGCGATCTCGGCTCACTGCAATCTCCGCCTCCCAGGTTCAATTGATTCTCTTGCCTCTGCCTCCTAAGTAGCTGGGATTATAGGCACATGGCACTATGTCAAGATAATTTTTGTATTTTTAGTAGAGACAGGATTTCACCATGTTGACCAGGCTGGTCTCGGACTCCTGACCTCAGGTGATCCACCTACCTCAGCCTCCCAAAGTGCTGGGATTACAGGCATGAGCCACTGCGTCCGGCCAACTTTAGTTACTTCTTTAAAGACCCTTTCTCCAAATGCAATCCCACACTGAGGTACTAGGGGTTAGGACTTCAACACAGTAATTTTGACCGAGGAGAAGGGAGGCAAAATTCAGCCCCTAATACTCTATGATGTGTTTTCATGGCATTCTTTATTTTCCTTCACAGTATATATTATATATACATACACACACATCTACATAGTATATATATAATTATTTTAATTATGTATAGTTATTTGTTGAATTATTGTATCTACATTTCTTTTTTTTTTTTTTTTT